TTCCTGTTTCCAACCTGCCTCTCCTAACATGCACAGAAGAGAGCTACCTGTGGCCGGGACTGACAAAAAAATGCAGACATCTTGATTGACGAAATGTGTGGCATGCTCCCCCTGGACAGATTAGTCAGTCGCCTGATGAATGCCCGCCAAGGTCCTGCTACCTCCGAAAAATGTTGCCTTAGGCATCACATTTATGGCGCAGGGGCATCTATGCACCAAAATAGGCTTAGCGGTGTAGACGTGTGCCAGTCGCCTCATCTAGATTCTTTCCACGCCGCCCTCCGGATCTCACGCCTTCACCACGACAAAACTCTGCCAGCCAGCCAAAAGTCATCACCACGCGCGTCGGACATCGAGCGCAGCACTGTGAAGCACGTCTAAAGGTGCTCTACGATACGAATATTCGCGTTTAGACGAATTGGACGACTCTACGAGCGGTGGCGACGAAGGAGAACATCTGAGGGTCTCCTGGGCCGTTGGCCAGGGCGAGCGCAGCAGTTGGGCGCCATCCGCCATTCGTGCACAAGTGATTTTTTCATCGACTGGGAAGTTTACGGACATTATTAATTGGCTTGACTTACGTTCTCTGCGTGTTTTTCTTCGCGATTTCTCTATTTGTCGCTGCGGCTGCGTGTCGCGTATATCCAACGAAACCACCTTCGGTCAGCCCGATCGCCTGAACAATCGTTGTCTTTGACGAGCCTTTCACCAACCGCAACCATGGCGAACTACCACCCTCCATTCTCTAGCGCGCCGCTTAAGACGGTCGAGGAGATTCAGTTTGGTTTGATGTCTCCCGAAGAAATCAAGAACATGAGTGTATGCCACATTCTCTATCCTGAGACGATGGACGAGAGTCGCACCAAGCCACGCGATGGTGGGCTCAACGATCCTCTTCTTGGTTCTATCGATAGAGGCTTCAAGTGCAAAACCTGTACGCAGTCCATGAGTGACTGTCCCGGTCACTTTGGACACATCGAGTTGGCCAAGCCCGTGTACCATCCCGGTTTCATTAAGAAGGTCAAAAAGATTTTGGAGATTGTCTGCCACAACTGCAGCAAGGTGTTGGCCGATACTGTTGGTCTATCCTGACTCTCCGTAGGCTTTTTGTGAACTTCTTGGTTGCTAACACAAAAATTTCTCTCTCAGAGCGATCCCGAGTTTGTCACCGCAATCAACACGCGAGATGCTAAACTACGCTTCAATCGTGTCTGGGCAGTCTGCAAGAAGAAGCGGAGATGTGAAAACGAAGATCGTAACGAGAAGAACGACGATGAGTTTGCTCCTGGCATGAAGCCAGTCGCACACAACCATGGTGGTTGCGGAAACGTGCAGCCGCAGGTCCGACAGGCGGCTTTGCAGCTCAAGGCTGCGTTCGATGTTGCGCAAGAGGACGGCCCCAAGAGGCGAGAGACGGTGCCGATTACGCCAGAGATGGCTCACGGTATTCTGAGAAGAATCTCGGAGGAGGATCTTCGGCACATGGGCCTCAACTCGGATTATGCTCGCCCAGAGTGGATGATTCTCACTGTGCTCCCTGTCCCCCCGCCCCCTGTTCGTCCCAGCATTTCCATGGATGGTACTGGCACCGGCATGCGAAATGAAGACGATTTGACCTACAAGCTTGGTGATATTATCCGTGCCAACGGCAATGTGAAGCAGGCTATCCGCGAAGGATCACCCCAGCACATTGCGCGCGATTTTGAGGAGTTGCTGCAGTACCATGTGGCAACATACATGGACAACGACATTGCTGGACAACCGCGTGCGTTGCAAAAGAGCGGCCGTCCAGTCAAAGCTATCAGGGCTAGGTTAAAGGGTAAAGAAGGCCGCTTGAGAGGTAACTTGATGGGCAAGCGTGTGGATT